AGAATCAAATTTCTTCTTTAATTGACTTATACAACTTATACACATAGAGAACGTAAGTCTAGATGTTCTCCACCGCTACTCTCCCGCTACAGTGACTATATTAAATTGATTGACCTTAAAGCAAATTGTTGATCGATATTAAAGTATATTTGAATGGTCATTTGAAGTTAGTCTTGAAAAGAGTCATGTTTTCTCTCCAGGCTAACCTTTTGTCTGACTGCCAAATTATATAGTGTAACCTAAAGAAAATAACCTATTTAATGTAACTTACCTAGGTTTAGAGTTCTAATTTTGAAACTATAGATATTTAAAGTGGAAGCTCTTTCAACATAATTGTTATTTTTATTCTATACATAAGTTTAGTATCCTTAAAAATATTTACTTTTACAATTGATCAAAATCAATTGCCTCTAAATTAAAACTGTAATTGTTTGCATGATAATAAATAATATGTCAAACTTGCTATTAAATATAGGACTTATTCATAACATTTTTTAAAGATCAATAACATTACCTACTTGTGACGATAATAAATAATCTCCTCCCCCCCCCAAAAAAAAGGAGACAAAGACAAAGCAGAATGGTTAGATAAAATTTGGAAACAATGTCAGTAATTTGTGTCTGGGATAAGATGTATCAGACAAAAAGTTGTGTGAGACCTAAAAAAAAAATGTCTATGAGTGACAACACTTACTTAGTAAACATGTCCCGTTTTGTAGTCCATGCTATTAAACTGACAAAAAGGGAGGTGTTTTAAGAAGGGAAAAGACCTATTTTATGTCGTACTGTATTAGTTTGTAGATGTCACTTTCCAATCAGTCCTCATAGGTTTGGAAGTAATCTTTTGACTTCTACAACCCATTTACACTTACATTCATTTTCCCTGTATATATTATATGGACATTAATTCACACTATAGTAAGGTACTTAAGGCTGTTGAGAGTGCATCTGTAATATTATTTATAATGTTTGTAGTTAAACTTAGATTTTAAGTTTCTCTTATAGGATTAATACACTCAGACTGTACAGTTATTTTATATTTTTCGTTCTTCATAATTTTGTAAAGAGATGTGTCTACTATGTACTGCCTTCACAATTATAGCTATTTTTCATAGTGATTGTTTGATTCACCCCAGTCAAAAACATATTACCCTCACTCCCCCCCCCCCCTACTGCACATAAGGTTTGCCGCTTTTAGTTTGCTTTGGATATCTCTCTATTACCTCCACCTTAGTTTGATGCGAGTCGTAACACTTTGGCCTGAAATCTTCGGATGTTGCCTGCGATCCAACTCTCTACCTGCACACTAATTACACTTGGTCCCAAAAAATATTTTACAGGTCTTCACTAACTATTTGGGAGGATAGTAAAAAGCTAACAACACTTAAAAACTAACAAAAGGCATTAGGTTAGGTCTTCCCTCGTAAACAAAGGAGTTGGTGGGGGTGAGATTCCACCGATTCCAAAAGGGTAACGGTTGGACCGACTCACAGGGTGGTTGCAAAGTATACAGGTCATGAGTCTCTTCTGAAATGCATTCCTCAACCCTTGTCAACTTTTCGTTGGGCCGAAATGTTACTCCATTGGCCTATTTAATCAACTGTAAAAGCGAGTGGGACAAAGTGTTACTGTTTTTCTAAGAAATTTTAGTTTGGCCGAAGTGTTACTACACCGTTTGATGTGTTTCCATTATTAGTTTCGATTTTTCAGTCCCGTATTTTGAGTTCTGAGATCATTGATGAAAGGTTTACTGATTTTGCCACTCAAGAAATTGTGTGCTATTCAGTTTAGAAGAATAAAGTTTTATATTTATAAAACGGTATAAAATTGAATAATGAAACAATTTCACACTAATTATTATGGTTTTACTGCATTATGATTACAAATCAAAATGTTCATTCATTGATCCTACAGCCAGCACAGTACCTATATAAGACGATAAAAAGTGTGACGTAGTACCATTGACTTTATAGATATAAAGTCAATGGTAGTACTAAGCTTATTAAATAATTCTGAAACTGTACGTACTGGACAACATAGTTTATCACTATGTGTTCAGCACTTTTAATATCCCAGTAACCAATAGGTATACACAGTGCAGTATATACAGGGTGTTTCCAAATTGTCTGGACATATTTTGTGGACTTGTTCCTTGGGCTAAGACAAACATAAAATGCCAAGATTTCTGTTCGTCGTTCTGTTTGTTATTTTTAAGAATTATTTTATATCTTGGGCATTTTTTTGGATAGAAATTTAAAAATTGGTGTAAATGTGTATTTTAGTAGGTAAAAAGAGCTTACACAGTTTCGTTCCAATATCTCAAGCCGTTTCAATATGACAGTCATTTAAATCTTAAATGCGAAATTTCGTGAAAACCGTAAATATTAAGGAAATTGTTCTACATATCAAAAAGACAGAGAATTTAAATCCACAACAAATGAGACCATGTTTGATAGAATCGGATAACAAACGAGTTATCCGTTTTTTTTGTTTTTTTTTCATTCAGTTACGCAATTAATTTAATAGGACTATCATACTGCTCTGTAAAATAACAATAAACAATATGGAAGTCCTATTAAATTAATTGCAAAACCGAATGTAGAAAAAAACTGATAACTCGGTTGTTTGTCATCCGATTTTAACAAACAAGGTCTCATTTGATTTGGATTTAAATTTTATATCTTTTTTTTAAATTTAGAACAATTATTACCTTAATATTTACGGTTTTCATGAAATTTGGCATTTAAGATTTTAAATGACCGCCATATTGAAACAGCTTGAGATATTGGAACAAAACTTCGTAAGCCTCTTTTTAACTACTAAAATGCACTTCTATACTAATTTTGAAGTTTCTATCTCAAAAAATTCCCAAGATAGAAAATAATTCTTTAAAATCGGAAAAAGACCAAAAAACAGAAAATCTAGGCATTTTAGACCCATACTTATATGTAGATGTAAAAAGTAGTTGAGTTGAATAGTGCTGTAGTGAATAGTGAGTAGTCCCCACGAATACAAATACAGTAAACTACAAAAATTAATTTAAATACTATGACAAATATTATGTAATTTATGACATAAGTAAATAAAATAATTATTTTTAGAACGTCATATACAACCGTAATTAGTTTCTTAAAAGGTCGATAGTCACTAGCACCCTTTTCATTCGAGATTTCTATGATCACATTCATTTTCACATATTGCAATTAAAAAATAAAACCCATCAACACTTTTTTTGTTTAACCCACATGTAGCTGTCGAACATGTATACTGCCTCTTAACTATATGCGTAATTTTTTCTTTACGTGCATGATAGAGTGACACCATTCAGAGTATGTATTATTATTTACTTAACATTAACGCTTTCACAATAGCAATTATCATACAAAAAATTCATGCATAAATTGATAGACGCTATAAAAAAGATGCAAATTATTTATTTGCTAATCATAATGAATTATATATTTTCTACAAATATATTATAATTTTATTAATAAACATATCTGACGTGTTTAAAAATATATTTATAAATACTTTAAATATATAATATACCGTAGATTCAAAAATATGTTATATATATATTTAAAATATTCTCAACTTTAACATATTAAATATGTATATTATAGATTCTATACTTATTTCATCAATATATATTATGAATCTATTTTATATATTCAAAACTTATATTTAATTGATATTTTGCATTGTTTTTTGGTAATATTTTAAATATATATTTGAATATATCAAACTATTATTAAAGATATATTATTTATATATTTTATTCGAGGTTCTACCAAATACAACTTTGAATATATAAAATATTAAAAAATACATATTTGTGCTACTAGGGTAACAACATTGTAGCCTACCCTGATGTAGAAGTTGTTTTAGTACAAGTTTCAACTATTAAACAGATACGAAACTGTTGCCAAGTTTTGTCATATTAATTAACAGTTGAAAATGTGTCTTAAAAACAATTGATTACTCATATTTATGTTCATTTGGGCTGCTTTAGAATGTTTTTAAAACACTAAAGGTCTTGTTTTCTGTGCTAACAATAACTCTTATAAATGTATTCTAGGTATATATTTATAACAGAATGGAAACACCATAAAAAGAGAAAGGAATAAAAATCCTCATTTTCATGTAAGTACATTGATTAGAAAAGTAAACATTTACTTGCATCTCAAATATTCTGTCATAATTTTCTTCTAGTATTTAATTTGAAATAAATACAACATGAAGAGAAAAGTTGTACCATGCTTTGGGGGCATATAAATTCCCATTCAAGAAAGTTTGGAGAATGCCCACAACCAGATTACAATAGTGGACCACATCACCAAATGCAAGCACCTCGAGAACGTTCTGCATGGAACATTTCTCAAATACAGTAATGGTGTATTATTTCAGTTTAAAAATGCCTGAACTAGTGTTCTGACAAAGAGTAGAGTGGACAGTGGACACCAGAGCATATGACAGTTGAACAGTTGAACTGGTTGCTAAAGATGAGAATATTTGTCAAAAATCGCTATTTCTCAACAACGAAGCTTTTGTTTTGTTTCCAATAGGTTTCACAGACTTATTTGTTATTTTTTTATTCTCACTAAATAGCAAGGCTACCACAACATTTGTAAGATGTGACCTACCCCAACCCCTATAAGGATCAGCAAAAGGGGACAGTTTTGACATTTTTGGTCACCTCCTTGATGGTGATTCATATTGGATCGGATTTTAACTGTTGACATTTAAGTGAAATGTGTCAACTGTGAGACTAAATTACTACAGTCTATAGAGGTGCCTCAATTTGTTTGGGCTATGTAGGAAAGTAGTATTATAGTGGTTCTTTTAAATGTATATAATTTTTGTCGTACAATTTTTATTATTTTATTCGAAAACGTTCTTTTTTCTCAATAGACCTTCTTAATAGGCCTTGTATACAGAAACTTATAAAACCAAAATTCTCAATCCTTTCAAAAATGAAATATTAAAAAGGGATTGATAAGAGAAAGTAATACAAAATTACATAGCAACCTTTTGAATTTACCAAGACTATCTGAAACTTAACAATTTTTTATTCCTAATCCGATACATCACAGGTAATACACAAGTAAACTGATCTGTTTATTGAATTAAACACATTTTATAAAATTGGCATAAAACTAAATAACAAAACAATCAACAACAATGATTAACCACATTTGTAATAATCTACAGTATATATAAATAGTCCCTGTAGACTATCTGATTTTGGTATGCTTCTTGGCTGCAACGGGTCTACTGCCAAGCCTCACTTGCACAGCTTCAGTCTTTGGGCTTGAAGCTTCAGTCTTATTTTGGCTATGAACTGCTGAGACTTTGACATAGTTGCTTGCTGAAGGGATTTCATATTTTCCTGCACATCAGGTTGAAAACTCATCATTAAAAAATTGCACAAAAGATGGTTTATTATAAATGTAAGGTGTCTCTCTGTGATACTACATATATTTAAGCATTTATTAATTATTTCCAGAAGAAGTAGAACTCTCAAACTATCAACCTGCTTGACATTTTTGCCTGTTGATTGACGGATGGTAAACAATTAATACCATTGGCACTATAAACATATTACCCACCAGGAGCTAAACCATTCAGTTTGTTTCTTCTCCTATTTGTTTTATCCAAACTTTTAAAATAATGTTAAAACTATGTTTTAATATTTTTAAATATTAATAATTGGTTTGTAATAAGAAATGTGTATTCAGGACAATTAGTTTTGTCATATCTTACACTACCTTGTGATGAAAATTTACCTTATTCCCGCCAAGTATAAGATTCTGTGATAAGATTTCTGTGGTTCTCAAACCATCGCACAAAGTTTTGTATGGTGCTGGTTGTGGACTTACCAGTCTCGTTTGGGGCAATGGCAAAAGTAAAAAAAAGGTTGTGTGTAGTAAAAAAATCCCGTGGCATAAAAGGGTCCCATTTGATCCCATGTTAATACACTCCCCGACGGAACGCCCAATGGATTCCGTCTGACGGAAAACTTCGTGCATAAAAGAGGCCTTAAGGTAATTTCATATAATATTTGAGGACTGAAAAATAAAATTATTGATGGCAGTTTAGTTGATTTTTAATGTAAATACGAAATGATTTTCCTAGCTGAAACATCTTTAGTTAAACCAGACAAATCTTTTATTAGGGATAAATTAAGCGGTTAGGTCTGAAGCTGTTTATTAAATTTGCTGAAAGGATAGGTAATGTTGGCAGATAAAACGGAGGTGATATTATTGGGTTAAATTTGAATTCATCTTTTCAGAAAAAGTTGTCTTTTGTTGATGAACAGGAACCTTACCTTTATATTTAAAGTACAATAAGTGGGAACAGAGTTTTAGCAAAATAGTTGAATATTTAAATAGTAGTGAAATAAGGAATCTAATATTTTTTGAAGGTCTGAATGGACAAATAGGTGAAGAACAGGGTTTTGTAAATGGTAAAAGTGTATATATTTATTTAGTTAGGGGTAGACATTCAAAGGACAAAACGTTAAACAGCAAGGGGAATAAGCTATTAGAATTGTTTGACAATGGAGGATTCTAATTGGAAGGTCAGCTTGTGATAAGCTTTTTCTAAGTAATCAAAAAATTAAATACCGTCTCTAGATTAGGATGTTATACAAAGTATACGAGTACAATAGTATCAAAGCATAATCATAATACAATATGGCTAAAAAGATAACTTTCGACCACTTTTTAAATTTTTATTTAATATCAAAAATAAATATTTATTAACAATCTTCTTATATTTTTTGTATTTTACAAATATTATGAAGGTATTATAAGGAATATAAAAAAATTGCAATTGTATTGGAGGTGCTAGTTGGTGATTCGTCAAGGTAACAGCTGCGAGCGCCAAGGGGAGATAAGGACCGACCCGGATAGCTGATAGGCCCGTGCGCCAGCTATATGCAGGTGTATACACACTGTAGTGGAGAATTACAGAGGTTATTTTTCATAATTTTGTAGCTAAAATATTTACCAGAAGGTTCTTAACTGTTTTTTGTTGATTTTAGCTCTGCATTTGATACGATTGGCTGCAAGTCTCTGTTACAAACTGAAACTGTCAACACTGGGATTGTCTACGAGCGTGATTAATGTATTAGAAGTTGATGAAGATACTTTGCTGGTGTGTGTATGCAAGGAGTTACAAACAGTTTTGTTACAAGGACAGGTCTGAGGCAAGGATGTAATCTCTCACCTACCCTTTTTTGCCTATTTTTAAATGATTTGCCATAAGCTTTTTTAGGAGGAGGGTGTAGCTTTAGTGGAGATAAGTAAATTTATTAATGTACACCGACGACATTAGGCCTATACTCCTCTTCCCGACGGGAACTGTCCTTCAACACATGATAAACAAATTAGAGGCTTATTGTAATTGTAATACATTAAACCTTTAACGTTAATTTACAGAAATCTAAAATTATGATATTTAGGAATGGTGGAAAGATTTAAAAAAGTAGAAGTTGTTGTAAAGGGGAAAACATTAAATAGTAAAGTACAAATATTTAGAAATCAATTTGACAAGCTCGCTATCATGGACCTCGATCTTCAAAAGAAAAATTTTAAATGGGTAAATATCCTCTAAATTTAATTGTGGACAGGCTGATAACTAATAAATACCCTCACCCCAGCAAACCTGCAAACTAAACGAATTTCCATTTACCTGGCTGTATTTCTACTGAAATATTCCATTAAAATTATCAGATTTTTTCCTACTTAAATAACATTACCTAATTTTAGTGAGTAGCTGATACATGGTTACTATTTAAATGAGCTTTGGTTTGCTGCTACAGGAAAGGTATTGTGGGGTGTTTTTTTATTATTTTTTATTGAAATGTTGATAGCATAGTATAAAAACAAAATTGCCAAATTTGATTAAAATATATCCATAAACAAGCAAACTAGAATAGTTTATTTACTATCCCTATAAGAATAACACAGGAATTTTAATTTTTTGTAGTTCTAATAGATATAGCTTTAATCGCCCAAGAAATTAGTTCAACCACGCTGAAGGCAAGGGGGCTCTTATCTCCTAGTTCAAGGTCGACTCGCAATAGCTGTTTGTAAACAGATGTCCTAGCTCGGCCTACACTTTCATCCTTCCATTTGATTTTAATTGTTTCTGCCAGCGATCCCAGCTGTGTCGCCAATGCGCTGACATCCAAGAGTTTCAAAGTTTATTAATTTATTGCTAAACCATGATGGGGTTCCCTAATAATTTCTCGGTGTTTGCACCAAAATATTATTTTTTTAATAGGCCTAATCTGTTTTGCTAATACTCTAGGTAATCTATTATTAGGCAAAGATAACACTCTATGTAATTAATATGTGTTCTTAAAGTACTGTATGGAAAACAATTTACAGTATTAGCACCTGTTTCCATACATAGTATTTAATCTATTATACTTATTTAATACGCAAGCATGTTTTTGTGACAATTACTCCTCCGAAACTACTTAACCGATTGGCATGTTTTTGGTGTCATTGGAAAGAGCGTAACGTGAAGTTGTGCAGGAAACATTCTATTTAGAGAAATAATTAAAGAGCGAGGCCCTGGGGCCCTTTAAAGTTTTGTATTTCTCCATAAGATTAACATAGGAAACAAACAATGTTATGAAACTCCAGCTGTTGTCAGAAATTTAAAGTGAGAAGAAGAACGTATGTTAATTGTATACAGTCAATAAGTTTGCCAATTTAACAGTTTGCTACAAACATTTACTTACTTGGCTGAAATGAAATATTTACTATTTGAATTTGGGTACTGGGTAGGCGTAAATACTACAATGGAAAAAAGCGAGAGAGCCTGGATAAATTGATATAGCCTACTATAAAGAAAACCGAATTAACACTGTGCTGCATTTCTTAGTAATCATTAAAAGAGCCGATTTTCAAACTATGGAAACATAGGTTAGTCATAGAACACCACCAAGTAGAAGAAATATAAATAATATTATTTTAGAGTTTATAATCGTTATTATGGAAAATGAGTAAGGCTATTTGTAGAAAACACTAAAAAACAAGATCAGCTTTTGAACAATGATAAGATATTTACAAGAAATGTTGATTATATCGATATGTTATGTACATCTTGAGAATTTTCATAATCTTCGAGTCGAATCTTTTAAAGTCGTCAGAAATTATGACTGTTATTCGTTTTAAAATAACGCCTGTTATACTTAGCAATTGCTCGAATTCGAGCAACAGGGACACTAGTTAGGAGTATTAGAAGGCAATCTGGACAATCTTTTAATAATCAATTTTTGGATGGAATCGACTATATCTATAAAATCCCACACTTGCGCCCCGTAACAAATTATAGACAGATTATTATATAGCCTCAACTATCGACTCAAAGCAAATCGTTTTTGGAAGATATTGGCACATTTTAGCTAATTTCTCATATAGGGAACCGTAGATCTCATGGTTAGACCTAGAACCGGGACCGATTTACTTTTTCGTTTTGAGAACCACCGAGCCCAAAAACACCCTCCGTTCAAATTCATATGATATATGTGTGGGTGTGTGTCTGTTAGCGCAATAACGGGTTTGATTAAATTTGGTACAAACTTGTAAACTTACGTTTATTCAAACGAGCTCACGGACCAGTATAATCGGACTATGGAAATGGGGGTTTATGGTGGGGTTTATGGGGTAAAAATTTATTTCTCCCTTTTTTGACCCTAAAAACACAACATTTCATAATTTCTTTCCAAACCATTTTGTAGAACTTAAAAAAATTAATAATTTTGTATATTGTAGAGTTGTTGTATGCCCAACAGTTACGAAGCAAGATAACTAAAAAAATTAAAATTCCTGTGTTATTCTTATAGGGATAATAAATAAACTATTCCAGTTTGCTTGTTTATGGATATATTTTAATCAAATTTGGCAATTTTGTTTTTATACTATGCTATCAACATTTCAATAAAAAATAATAAAAAAAACACCCCACAATACCTTCCCTGTAGCAGCAAACCAAAGCTCATTTAAATAGTAACCATGTATCAGCTACTCACTAAAATTAGGTAATGTTATTTAAGTAGGAAAAAAATCTGATAATTTTAAGGGAATATTTCAGTAGAAATACAGCCAGGTAATCATCAAGAAAGTTTGATAACCAAAAACGGATTGTGGCAATGAGTTCAGTATAAAAAAGTAGTTCAAAATGATAGGTCACAACACCACCTTCATATTTAAATTAATTGATAACGTTTCAAAATGGCGGATCCAAGATGGCGGTTAAAAAATTACATCCGTCATAACCAAGTGAAAATAGGTTGACAATGAATGGTGGTGTATACTTATCTTTATCTAGCACTATTTTGAGATTATGGTCTTAGTTTGTAAATGCACAATGTCAAAATGGGCTAAAAATAAAGTTATAAAAAGTCCTCATAGCTTTAGAACAGAAATTTATAAGGCATAGCTGGTAAATTTAAATTATAAACCTTGGACCGAACAAAATAGTATTTACTTATTATGCAATCTTAGAGAGTACGACACTACCTTTCACTTCGTTGCTGTCTGTCCAATGTTGGGTAATATTAGAAGATATTGGTTAGGAAGCAACATTTTGAGTGAAGTAGAATATTATCAATATCTAAACGGGAAAGATTGGCGTGTCTTTACAAACTACTTAGGGAAGCTTGGAAGTTTAGATTGGAACTTATAAGTGAGTTTCACTTCTAAATTTGAGGTAGATAAAACTAAAATAAAACATTGGAACTCGTTCACTTTTTATCTGATATCCTTAATTCTGTATAATGGTTTGTTGTATGTTAAAAGTACTCAAATTGTGTTTTATTATTCTTCTATTTATTATACAGGGACACAGGGTGAGTTTTAAATGAGTTCGACTCCTACTTTTTTCTACATTTCTTAAGATATCAACTCCGGACCACATCAGATCATTGTAGAGTAGTAAGTACTTCATTTTGACTGGGTATACATTTTTGGCCGCCATCTTGGATCCGCCCTATGGGATACAAAGTTTTTTTTTTCAAATGTAAAGGTAGGGTTGTAACCCCTTGTTTCAAACTAGAATATTACGCTTATTACAATGCCGCAATTAGTTTTGAAAAATCTTGATCTGTTCTAAAGCTATGAGGACTTTTTATAACTTTATTTTTAGCCCATTTTGACATTGTGCATTTACAAACTAAGACCATAATCTCAAAATAGTGCTAGATAAAGATAAGTATACACCACCATTCATTGTCAACCTATTTTCAATTGGTTATGACGGATGTAATTTTTTAACCGCCATCTTGGATCCGCCATTTTGAAACGTTATCAATTAATTTAAATATGAAGGTGGTGTTGTGACCTATCATTTTTAACTACTTTTTTATACTGAACTCAATGCCACAATCCGTTTTTGGTTATCAAACTTTCTCGATGAAATATTAAAATTCTCTTATTTAAAATTTCAATATTTCAAAAACCAAAGATGCAAATGAAAAACGGATTGCGGCATTGAGTTCAACATAAAAAAAGTAGCTCAAAATGATGGGTCACAACACCACCTTCATATTTAAATTAATTTGTCACATTTCAAAATGGCGGATCCAAGATGGCGGCCGAAAAAATTACATCCGTCATAACCAAGTGAAAATAGGTCGACAATGAATGGTGGTGTGTACTTATCTATCTTTATCTAATACTATTTTGATAGTCCAAGAATTTTAGGGATAAAATAAGTGCCATTCGACCTAACAAATTCGGACAAAGTGAAAACTTTGCACAGTTGTTTAGTAAGCCTAAATAAAGAAAATTTCAAAAGTCCCCTTTAATCCCGGCTGTGCTTCAGCCGCTATCTTGGAAAATGGCGGCCAATTTTAACTTTTTTGACAATATTTCACAAACTATTGGTATTAGAGAGTTTTTGTAAATTCAAAAGTTAAAGAACGTCTAAAAATACATCTTTATATTACAATGGTTGCTCTATCTCTAACGGTTATTGAGATAAATTATAAAAGTTAGTACTAAATTTAAAATTTCCATGTTAGTCTTATGGAGGAAAATAAAATGGTTGCAGTTTGCTTATTTATGGATATATTTTGATCAAACTTGGCAAATTTATTTACCTATAACTTCAATAACCGATAGAGATAGAGCAAACCTTGTAATATAAAAAAGTTGTATTTTTAGACGTTCTTTAATTTTTGTACTTACAAAAATTCTCTAATACCAATAGTTTGCGAAATATTGTCAAAAAAATTAAAATTGAAAGCTGGATCACAGCCGGGATTTATGGGGACTTTTGTAATTTTCTTTATTAAGGCTTACTAAACAACTGTGCAAATTTTCCACTAAGTCCGAATTTGTTAGGTCGATTTGCCTAATATTCTTCCACTATGAGATTATGGCCTTAGTTTGTAAATGCACAATGTTAAAATGGGCTAAAAATAAAGGTATAAAGAGTCCTCATAACTTTAGAACGGATCAAGATATTTAAAAACTAATTGAGACATTGTAATCAGCGTAAAATTCTAGTTTGAAATAATGGGTCACAACCCTACCTTTACATTTGAAAAAAAACTTTGTATCCAATATGGCGGATCCAAGATGGCAGCCAAAATGTATACCCAGTCAAAATGAAGTATTTACTACTCTACAATGATCTGACTTGGTCCGGAGATGATATCTTGAAAAATGAAAAAAAGTAGGGGGGAACTCATTTAAAACTCACCCTGTATAGGACAATTTTCATTTCTTTTTGTGCTAAATGTTTTTAAAGATACATATTTTATTTTAGAAGGCAAACATTATTTCAACCAAACAGACATCAACCATTGTTTTAAAATGTTATGCTTTTTGGATGTACATATTTACCTATTGTTCAATAAAGCACTTTTAAATTTAATTTCTGTGAATTCTCTAAACTGCATATGCACATTTCATACGTACACGGTTGAATCCTCATATCTACTGGCAACAGATTTAAACAGGGGTTGGTTAACAAACACGACGTTGGTCTCAGATTTGAAGTAGCTGCGACAGGAGCTCGAGGGGTATCTTAATTTACAGACGACCTTGGAAATTTTGCAAATAAAAAGATAGGCAATAAAAGTTTAAGTGCCATATGTTTTTCAAAACATATAAAACCCACCTTGTCTATCAATGTTTGGATCACTAGTGTGAGGCGGAGGAGGCATTTTGTAATACATATCCTCATATATCTTGCCTAGGTAATCGTCCACATGGTGAGTTACATGATGGACTCCTCCAATGCTGGAGTGTGCACCGGGGCTGTAACAAAACACACATTACAGAGTTACAATGCTGGAGTGTGCAGAGAGACTGTAACATAAAAACACACATTAACCTACAAATTCACAGTGGTAGAGTATAAACAGGAACTGCAACATTAAAATACGCCTTACACAGTTAAACTATGCTGGGATGTGAACCATGACTGAGTCATAAAACACATATTTTACTGATACAATGTAAGTGTTCTTATGTCCTACCTTCACATCCCAGAGGACTCTAGTCTGGAACAGTAGAGAGGGCGGCATAATCAAAAAGCTAAAGCCACTGGTGATGGCGGATTTAACCTTGATAACCCCGGACGCGTCAGAGATCAATATAGGGCTGATACAAAGTGAGGATAGACGCCGGGATTTAGCATTATAAATATCATGTGATCTTTCTTTTTTTATACAGTAATGAGTAGAGAAAATGGTGTAAATCGTTGGAATGGTTTCATAAACAATGTAACATTAGACTAGGAAACTGATATTGGTATTGTTGTCTAGTTTTAACACACATCGCAACAGCGATGATACTTCGATTCTTTGTACTACCGGCACTGTACCTACTATAGAAATACGGTCAATTACTGTTGTTTCGTAAATATATAATATAAATAGTAATATTTAGAATACTTATACAACTCAATTATACAAGACAAAACTTTGACCGTAAAACTAGGCGTACCTATAGGGTGATAAACATTATTTTGTTAGTCATTAGCAATCAAAAATGTATTCTTTCCAAACCCAACCAAACTTCAAAACATAGTTATATTTGCACTCTAACACTTAAATCCGTCTACAATTATTAAACTCTGTTTTTAAAATTTCAATGCTAACCTTATCAAACATACAGGGACAGGATACCAGGAAAGGACGATTACCTGTTTATGGAGTCCATATAGTCTTTCTCGGTAAAGTCGTAAGGACGGTCGTCGTAGTTCTCGTAGTGATCGGACTGTGGTTGGGCGTATTGTCGTACAGGAGGCTCGGGGTCCTCAGTGATGTTGCCTAGGTAAGGGCTTGGTCTGAAGTCTTTGGGTACACTTGCGTAGGCTCCTGCGTAGTTGACGGGGGGGTATGCCGAGGGCCGTGTGGGGTAAGGATACCTCGGTGTAGGATTAGCGTACTGATAAAGTCCCGGGGGTGGTTGTCTATAGGCCAGGGGAACGCTTTTCAGAGGACCATTCGGCTTAGGACCAGAAATGGCGTGGGACACACCTTGTTTTGAGTAAACCCCGTCGTATCCACGATTACCACCGGGCTTTTCGATGGGAGGATAGAAAACTTTCTGTGGTACTCGCTTAACGTTGTAAGGTCGAGATAAATATTTTTTACCGGTTAGTGCTGGGCGATACTCTCCCGATCCTGTATCTTCCGCACTCAACTGTCTGTAGGACTGGTAATGTAGTGGTCGATCCCGCGGACGAAGAACATCTTCGCTGTCGTCATAAGAACGAAGTTTAGTAGGGCCGCTGTTGGAGAGATAAGGCCCACGGGCGGCGAAGGGACGAAGTAGCGGCGTCGGCTCATCATGGACTTTTCCACCCACAAGTCCCGGGAGATTTCCTACCATGACAGGAAACGGGATCAGCAGTTTGTAGTCTCCACCAGCACCAGCCGACGCTCTCGCGACCACCAGAGCTTGTTGTTTGTTTAGATTCATTACGAATGGTTTCCCAGAATCCACGTTTTTTCCGACGACCAGAGGGTACAAGTTGTCAGCCATGATGATCCCGACCGGGAAGGCCGCAGGAGACAGAAGCGTTTTAGGAGAGACCGGAAGTTCATCTACATTGTCGCGCTCACCAGAATGGTCGACAAAGATCTTCTCCTTCATTGTAGCCTCCACAGTTTTTGAATCGGGATTTGCAGGCTCGACTCCCTGTGTCATGTGTCGCTCTACAGTCCGAAATATGTCCTCGACCTCTTGTTTAACAGCCGCTCCATCGTCAGTCCCTGTCACGCTACCGAGACACAACCCCAGAACCACGGAACACACAACTCGCCTCAGCATCGTGTTCTCAAACACTGCGGCAGTACTGCACTCCGCTAATACATAACGCACCACCTCTTCCGTCCCCCGGGATACGGAACGATTGCTTTCTCCGGCGGCGGCGCAGCGGTCGCTAGCTTGTGTAACCGTCGTTCACGCTTCTTACCGGGCGCGGTGGTTATTTCTCCAATAATCTACAAAAAACCCATCACTTCGCTTGTGCACTTCACTTGACGGCTGTACGCTCACCATTGTCCAAGATGCATTTCCTGTCGTTACCTTACTGGCAGTCAAGTCCGATGTGAAAGTATAGCATTTTCCTTCCTTCACATTAGAAATTGCGGACCTATTTCGATTAATGTTCGATATGGGTACATCGTGTAGTGATCAGTGGTCAAAGAAGTGAGGAAATCCTTTATGTTATGGTTTTTGTCACAGAGGCAGTCAGTTAGAAGATTAGATGTATCTGTGACGTTCCCAGACAATCATAAATGAATGTGTGTTTGCACCAAGATGCCAAAATTGTTTTTGAGCCAACAAATTTTAACCTTGGTTGTTTAGACAAGCGAGGAAACCTATACTTAATTTACAATATTAAATTTCATCCCAATGACATAAAGTGAGCCTTTCCTACACTAACGTTAGTTTAACGATCGAGAGTTGAAACAACATTTGGACACGTGTGTGATAAGCTTACATCATGTTTTCATCTAGATTTAAACATCAACTACGAAGATGTTTAAATCTATAGGTTTGCTCCGCCAACTCAATAATCAATTGAAATCACTGAACTTGTTAATTTCAATAGGTCTAAAAATCAACAAAGGCTCATTTACTGGATTAAAATACGCAATTTACCCGATTATAAACACAAATAGAAATAGATTAAAAACGGATGTATTGATTAATAGCGTATATAAATCGGATCAATTTTCTTTGTAAGTCAGTTCACAAAGGAAAAATGTAAATAGTTTGTCATAGATACCTGCTGATTCTTATCTTATTTGCCCTATGGAACTACTTAGCTCCACAAAGCATGCATTGTATTAGCATATAGGCAACAGCATAATGCTAAGCATATGTCCGCGAGTGGCTAGGAAAAGCAATAATATTATCAGATCGTCAAATATTCTTTTGGTAAATTATAATAATTCCCCTTCTCGCTGAATGTGAACCTCTCAAGCCATTTCCGGAACTATTGAGGACGTCATGCTTCGACAGATTGCGTTTATGCGGTTCCGAGTACAATCATGACATCACATAACAATTTTTAAGATTCGTGTACAATGAGATATCTGTCTTAATCAACAATGAATACTTTCCAAGGGATCGGCATTATTCTTAAACTATATCCGCGTTGGGTCCTTCAGGAGGAAAATCTATTCTGAGGTATTAATTACAGTAAGTAGGGGGTAGCGGAATTTTACCCCCTGAGCAAAACTGACAGGCCTTAGTGGTAAAATTCCGGCCGCGAACTTTTGAGTTGCACAACATGAGGTGAATAGATTAAAGGTGGAATCAAACGTATATTTTCATGGTTGTCGATTTAATCAGAACAAATCAAATAATAAATCTAGAGTGTACGGGGTGGTTCTAGTCTTTCACTTTGTAAGACATTGACTTCACACTGATTTAGTTTGTTACTGCATTGCTTTGGTAACTGTAATATGCTAAGTAGTTTAACCCCATTTACACATGACTCATTTCGCATTGATTAATTAATTGATTTGACTAAAAATAATATTACGTAAAGCTAGAAAGATATACAATAGAAAGATTACAGGGGATTACAAAGATGACAATAGAAAGATATACATTAAAAAGCAATAAAATAATCAACGGCAAACAGTAACAACAATTGATACAGATTTTATAAATTAATAAAATGGGTTATAAATATTTAATTTATAACTAACTGATTAATCCAAAACTGTGTTTTTTGTGTGCTCTTGTTAATCCCTAACAGCACCAGATATCCATTGAATATTCTAAGTGGTTGAAATTTATGTCTAAAGATATCTACATGTAATTAAATATCTAAAATTATCTGTCAAGATATTCTTTAGATATTTAATATATACTTTATTAAAAGTTTCACAGTAGATATTTATATAATGTTTAGATGCAATATCCTAAAAATATTGTACATAAATTATACTGATAAGTGCATTATTGTTTCATTAATAATATTGAATGTTAAAGTTAGCCTAATTAAAACACAGGATCTAAAGTCATCCAACAAATCAACAAAGACTAATCAAACCAGGGGTGCCCAGAGGGGGGAACTTTTTGGGGGGGACTATTTTTAAGGGATTTTGGGGGGGGATATTTAATTTTTGCTAGCTGTCATAATGGCTGTATAATTTTGTACAAGCAGTCCGAAAAAGTGTTTCTCACTAAAAGTAGCTCACTATCAACACCAACATTTTGCCGTTCGTAATTAAGATTGCTTCTAAGAATGGTAAAGCACCTTGTCAGACAACCCTTAACATACCAGTGTAGAATTTTACATGCTACATATGTTTTGTTGGTTCTTTAACTCCACCATAGTCAGGATTTACGAAAGATCCCCTTCTGGAGGTGTCGTCAGTATACGTTACAAACATTTAACACAAAACACGAAACGATTACAGATAGGCTTATCAATTCACGCGCGTACATTGCCGTCGGCAAGACTGGAACTGGAACACTGGAAGTAAACTGAATCGGGTTCAGGTTATGACGGACCGACGTGGTCTCTGAATTGTCGTCTGCTTTTTCAACAGCTGATATTGGACTATTGTTATAGTGACTGAGAAGAGTATTGAAAATATAATGGCTTTCATAATTAATTGAGTGTTTTCACTCAAAAATGTTGTGCTGTCCCCAATTTTATGTATTCATATATTTCAAACTCCTCAAAGTATTTAAAAATTTCCTTTCGTGCAGTACTGTAGAATTTCGAGACCATCATTTATATCCAGCATATAAATTGGTTATTATTGTCAATAGTTTTGAATGGAAAACTCAATTATGAATCCCGTTATATTTTCAACATACTCCGTCACTACAACTAGTCCAATATCAGCTTTTGATAACGCAGATGACAATCCAGAGACCACGTCTTTCCGTCATAACCTGATTCAGTTTACTTCCAGTCCTTCCCGCGGCAATATACACGCGTGGATTGATAGGCCTATCTGTTATCGTTTCGTGTTTTGTGTACAAACGGATTGTCTGACAAAATACGTTCCTACCATTTTAGTCATAAAAGGCAATCCTGGGGCTATCAAAATGAATTATAAGATTACTTCGTCACAAAAACCTTTTGTTCTGGTGGCATGGTATTTTGCCCGGCGATTTTTGTAGAAGGCAGCCTGGAAGTGGCGAGCAACAAGTCTGACTTATTTCGTGACTCTGCCTATAATTTTGAAACAATTAAGATACTTTTGCCAAAGTATTATTAATACACTTAAAGCTGTTTGAATTCTTAATACCCTCTAAACATTAAATCCACCTAACATATTGTACAGTTACAGTACTGTGTTGGAGTAGAGTAATTCACCGAGTATAGGCCTATTGTTGAACGTGTTGAAGACGTTGTCTATAGCAATACTGAGCACATGTTGGCTGACAATACAAATTCGGAATTTTGTAAATTGAAAAACTTCTAATTCAACCATTACTTAGATATGTATTGTTAAATGACGTTTCCTATTAAACATTTAATTTTGATTCTCAATCAGCAAGTTTGTTTTTTGTACCTCAAGTTTACTAAATACTTTAAATACTCGTTTTATGAGGTAAAGGGAAATTGTCAGATAAATTGGTGGGGGGAGGGTAGTTTTAAATAGACGACAACATAAATTGGGGGGACTACTCCTTTGGCTTGGGGGGGGGGGGACTGCGCCTCTGGGTTTAGGGGGGATGGGCACCTCTGAATCAAACTAAAACTAATTGTAGTTTTTATGTGGTTATTTTGGTAGGATGAATTATAGTATGTTGTCTCCGTTACCCTAATCCGTGCTACGCGTTAAAAAATCAAATAATTTTAATCAGCCCAAAGTGGACCATAAATTGCATTAACGATGTTTACGATGATGACTACACTTTTCCAAAGGGAGTGTTTCATTAAAGTCAAACTATTTCAGTCAGAAAGGAAGAAATGTGCATTAGACCAGGTAATATATAATTAGACAAGACTCGCACGATCCAAAAGTTGTAAGAAACCCCAAAAAATATGTTAAGACGTTCCGTAAAAACATTATACCATTGACTTTGAATGTATTATTAAACACCTTTTTATAGTAACACACCTGCTTATAATAATAATGAAAATATTTTCTTTTTAATTAAAATTCTTTAACTTATTTGAGGAAATTTTATTGGTTGAACAATTTAAGGAGACATTTTAACTAATCATATAACAATTATAATAACATTGCTAATTGTAATTAATTAATCTATATTCAGATATCAGTAGTCTCTCCAACTCCCAGAAAACCCATTAATTTAACAGCTTGATGCCTAAAAAGAATCATAGTATAAAAAATATTTAAGTATTGCGACCATTGCAGCTGTTGGCTCCTCTTTAACCGCTTGAAAACTAGTAATATCAACAATCACAGATAGCTCAGAGGTAAGGTAAGAGGTTCATAAGTTGAAGCCGGTTCGAGACCTATCCGGGTATAAACAAATTTTTCTAGTTGTTTTTAATTTTTTTTTAAACTATTTAATTAAAATACTCA